CCTTACCTTACCTTACCTTACCTTACCTTACCTTACCTTACCTTACCTTACCTTACCTTACCTTACCTTATCTTACCTTATCTTACTTTATCTTATCTTTACCTTACCTTACCTTACCTTACCTTATCTTATCTTATCTTATCTTATCTTATCTTATCTTATCTTATCTTATCTTACCTTATCTTACCTTGTCTTATCCATCTTACCTTACCTTACCTTACCTTATCTTACCTTATCTTACTTTATCTTATCTTACTTTATCTTATCTTACTTTATCTTATCTTACTTTATCTTATCTTTACCTTACCTTACCTTACCTTACCTTACCTTACCTTACCTTACCTTACCTTACCTTTACCTATCTTACCTTACCTTAGCTTATCTTATCTTATCTTATCTTACACTGCACCACTAAACAATTTTACGATAGACCCCATATTTGAGGAGGGGGCTCCTTCTGAACAGGGGGTGTCTGGACATACAAAATTCTTATAACTGAAACCTAGTCATCATAGGAGCTTCAGATTTTTGTTGTTGTTAAGCTTTTATTGTTTGTTTGTTTTTGGTTGTTTAACTCTGATGAAGCGCTATCCATTGGGCCCACCAATGAGCTCCCCCACCCCCTGGACCCCCACCCCATCTGAAAAGGGAGTGCCTGGACATAAATGCTTATAACTCAGAAACTGTTCAACATAAGAGCTTCAGATTTTTGTTGTTTAACTCCGATGAAGGGCTATCAATCCAACCCACCAATCAACCCTCCCAGCCCCTCTAGACCCCCACTTAGAACAATAAATCTGTTCTGGTGAGTTGGTGCATAGGTGCTTTGCGTACCTTTGGGGGTCATATATGCTACCACTATGCAGTATCTAGTTTACATGATATATTTGCACAGACAGATGCTTGTTTCAGGGATAATATTTCTGATAAGTCCTGTGAGGACAGTAGCTTCTGATATTCCAACCAGCTGGAACTCCTTCCCACACATCACCAAATTATCAGCATTTTTTTTTCATTTAATCAGAGTGTGCGTTGCATCTACGTGGCAACAATTTGTCCGCAGCCTCTCAAAGCCACAAATATCGCCCACCCAGGAATGGTGGGCGATATTTTTTTCAACYGAATAATCACATTTGTTATTCCAACAGTGTAGCTGCGGAAAATCAATATGAAATCAAATGAATATCTCTTTTCCATCACCCCACCCAAACCCTGAAAGCGAACACTGAGACTCAGCCCTCCAGTGCCATCAGTCATCTGAAAAATCTCGACTTGCTCTGCTGCCAACAAACCATGTGGGGATATGAATGAGTAATGTTCCTCTGTACCTTAACAGCTATTTTCCTGAGTGCCCTTGAGCAAGTAACTTAACCTCCCACTGCTCCAGTGGAGCAACAAGAGG